TTAAATTTGATTCACTTAAAATTGTCAAGGCTTTTTGTAAACGTTCATTGTGTTCTTGCCAAGTTCTCCCTGAAATGTAAATATCATCAAGGAGTGACCCTACTCCTGGTATTCACTTTAGAAGTTGATCAATGGCTTTTTGGAATTCTCCAGGAGCACTGGTAATTCCAAAACATAAACGAGTGTACCGCAGCAATCCTATATGTGTGTTAATGGTGGTAAGATTTTTCCCATTCTCATCCAACAACATTTGTTGATAAGCATCTTTGAGATCTATCTTAGAAAACACCCTAGCTCCTCCAAAATTAGCACAAATATGATCAAGGCGGGGTAATTGGTATTTATCATCTAGCAAAGAAGGGTTAATAGTAAGGCGGTAGTCTCCACAGATTCTGACTCCCCCATCCGTCTTAAGCACTGGCACAATTGGAGTTGCCCATTCACTATGGGTCACTTTTTCTAAGATTCCCAAATCTAAAAGGCGAGTTATCTCTATTTCTACTTTCTCTTTTAGTACTAAAGGTAAAGACCGGGCTTTCAAAAATTTTGGGATAGTTTCAGGCTTAAGTTTTAATGAGACTCTGTATTTATTGAAAGTGCCCAGTGATTCTTCAAATACTTTTGGAAATTGTTTTAATATTCCCTGAATGTCCTTAGGAGTCATATCTTCAGTAGCGTTCAAAAATAAAGGAAAAACTTGACTGATTTTCATCTGTTCCAATCCTCTTCGGCCAATTAAAGGAGGACCCCCATTTTTAATGACATAGAGTTCCAGTTCAAATTTGGCCCCTTTGTAACATACCTCCAAATTCATTTTTCCAGTTGGAATTATAGGATTGCCTACATAGTCTGACAGTTTAATATCATTAGAATCTAGCAAAATGTGTGAACAATTTTTCTTATAAAAATGATCCGAAATAACATTATGTAGTGACCCAGTATCAACCTCAAATTTAAAAATTTGATTGTCAATCATCAAATCCACACAATATTGGGAATTATTTCCATTATCTTGCCTGATGGAAAAAAATGTATCATGTAGACTTACCTCATTTTCTGAGGGTAGAGATAGAGACTCTGATTCAGAGCTTTGTTCTTCTGTCAAATATTGTTGCCTTCTTTCCTTTTTAAAAATTGATTTTTGATTTTGACACATGGGAGCCAAGTGCCCTACTTTTTTCCACTTATGACAGGCATATGTTTTGTATTTGCATTTCTCTGACACATGGTTCTTTCGACCACAAACTTTACATGGCTTCCGGTTCTCTTGATGTCTCGTATGAAAAAAATCCGTTGGTTCTTTCTTGATAACCGTCTCTGGAGTGGCCTTTAACGAAGCTTGTTTTGATGCCGCAAGCGAAACCATTTTCGTGAACGTACAACCTTCCTCCGACGGATCTTCTTCTTGAAGTCTCTCCCTTATTTTAACATTAAAAAGTCCCAAAACATAAATGTCCCTCAACACATCATTCAATTCGTTGCCGAATTTGCAGGGTGCTGCTAACGAACGAATTCGGGCTGAAAACTCAGTCGCTGCCTCATTATCTTTTTGTTTGGCTGAATAAAATTCTTTCCGAGCCGCAAAAACTGATTTGATGGGCGCAAAATGATTCGTTAATAAGGTGGTGAGTTCCTTGAACGTTTTAGTCGCCGGTTCAGCCGGAATGCACAGCGATTGTAATAACCCCATTACCTCATCACTTAATGAGGCTAATAAATAGCTCTTTTTAATTTCATCATCGGTAGTTGATGTATATTTGAACGTACTATTCATCCGTTCCAAGAAACACTTCCAATTTTGTTGGTTATCAAACAACACGGGTGCCGGTAATGTTGCCATTTTTAATCCTCGTCGCCAGTTGTTACACCTTACTGATTTGACTAATGTGAGTCAATCAATAAATAAACTTAAAAAGCTTGAAAGGTTAAATGAAACAAAGTTTAAGTCCACGTGTCTTCGAACATCACACACTTTTATTGTAACACAAGTAAACATTGAATACACAAAAAACAAGGGAAGGTTTTTCTATGTTTACAAAAATCTTAGACATAAAGAACTTAGAGCTAATATTTTTACTACGTCATAACAGCTATCAAGTCTTGAAATTAATATGAAGAAAGGCACAAGTTAACATATGAATTATTGATAGATATATAAGAGTGTGTTTACATACAAACAATTGGTAAAATATAGGTGTTAAGGCCGTTACATTAACTTACTTTTTATAAATTCAAAATAGTTATTGTCATGGAAAAATTTTGTTTATATAAATATCATTAAATTTAAAAATTCATTCTGATGAATTGAGAGAGAGTCTATTTATTTTAGTCATCAACACTCAAATGTTTATATTAATTGGATTAAGAGCTAGTAGATAGTGCCACCAACTATGCCCTTCGTCTAGTATACCTACGGAAGCCAAGGAAGCAAGAGATACAGAAAGTTCGTTAGAGATCGACTACCCTTTGTCTTTTCGCCATCGAGTCCATCTCGATACTGTCGATCTTTACCACCATCGGCTGCCAGCTGAATGGAAAGCTCCACCACCTCCAAATCCATGCCTGGTTATTTTATTTTATTTATATTTTGAGCACAATAATTCTATTATGGAACTTCGCCATTACCGATCTGGAAACATTATGCGTTTCTAAACATAGCTCAAGCTTTTGAGCGGATATGGCAAGCCGGGCTTCTTTTCAAACTTAATATCTATCTGCCACAGTCTTTATACCTTGTCCTCCGCTCCTACCTCTCTGATCGCACCTTTTGAGTTCGCTGCGGCACTGAATTTTCCTATTGCTATCCAATTGAGGCTGGTGTACCTCAAGGTAGCGTATTGCGTCCCGTCCTTTACATCCTCTTTACCGCCGATATCCCTGTCCATCGCGATACCTTCCTGGCAACATTTGCTGATGACACCGCCATTCTATCATCCGACATAGATCCTGATATAGCATCCTTAAACCGTCAAAGAAACTTCTCCCTGATTGAGCACTGGTGTAATAAATGGCGTATTAATGTAAATGAATTCAAATGCCAACATATTACCTTTATACTCCAACGCAGTTCCTGTCCACCACTACACTTTAATTCCATCCAGCTTCCTTTCTCAGACACAGTTTGGTATCTTGGCTTTCTCTTAAACGACTAACGTGGAACCGTCATACTAGACTTAAAAGACAGGAACTTAACCGACGATCCGACCAACTATACAGACTACTAAATAGAAAATCTAAACTTTCTATTGAAAGTAAAATACTTATCTACTAGACAATACTGAAACCTACTTGGACTTACGGACTTGAACTGTGGGAGACAGCTCAATTTTCTAACATCAAACGCATCCAATCCTTCCAGTCCAAAGTCATTCAAACAATAGTCGATGCTCCTTTCTATGTAACCAACAAAACCCTACACCATGGCTTTAATTTACAATTTGTCCTACACCTTATCCCAGTAAAATTGTCCTAATTTCACCAGAACTTTCATCATTAGAATCCACTCGCACAATCTCTATCCAGCACCACTCATTGCTATAATCCTCCAAGAAGGTTAAAACGGCAGTGGCCCCGCGACCTTTTGTAGTTTGTAAATATTCGAGTCCTGGCAATGGCCAGATTCTCCACCCACGACATGAATGTATGTGGCTAAAGAACTCTCGCTCAATCTCCACTGGATTTAGCCCAAGTGACGCGGTTGAGAGAGAACTGCAGAGATCTCCTGGAGTAATGCTTTTTCCTCCACAGTTGAAAGGACAAGTCTGGCTCGGAGTTCTCTCGCCAGATTGTAAATATTGTATATAAGTATGTATGTGTTCTTCTTTATTTATTTATTTTTAGGTTATTTTATTCTTATTTATTGTATATATATTATTTTAAAAACAAGTAATTTATTGTACATAGAGCGTGAATGTGATCTCTGAATACTATTATAAATGTCCTTTGGAACAGATTGTAATATTTTTTAATAAACAAGTTTTAAAAAAAACTCTAATACATAAATCTCCTATTCACCAAGCGGTTATTATTATTGATTTTTGGTCCTGTATTGTCGTTTTTTCTGCAGTCAAAATTTTTTTTTTAAAATAGCATCCACTTAGTTCAACAGGCAATCTTCCTACCATGCCTGTAATCATGTGTTATTGTTCTTAATCAATTCCAATAATTACGATTTTTTTAAATCATTCTTTACGCATAATTTTATTCCCGTTTATGTTTATTTCTAATCAGTACAAAAGTTAGTGCATCAACACTAATTGTATCCTATTTAAGTGTTGTCTAATTTGAATTTTATTTACTTTAGTTTCAATAAAAAGTTTTATTTCTATTATATTTTTTACACTAAGGTTATATAGTTCATAAGCATAGTTCAAGGAAGATAATTTATCTGATTTTCTGTTTGTCTAAATTGTAATTGTTTAAATTTATCTTCAGACTTACTAATCTATGTACTATGTAGGTTTTTAATATTTATTATTTTACTCATTTTCAAAAATTGAAGGCAAAAGACCATGTGGAAAGCCAAAAAGCAGATGAATAGATAGAATCAACAAATGTGCAATAGAGCTTCGTGCAGATAAATGGAAAGAAATGTCGTCGGAGGTTTTAGGGAAGAGGACAATTTTTACGAAAAAGGTTTCAGTTAACTTGGCCTCTGATAATTGAGAGTTGGGAAGGTATGGAAACGGAATCTGGTGAAACTTTAAGAATTAGTGGATTATGAGAAAAGTTTATTTAGATGAGTAATGAAACTATTGATGTGGCCTAACTCTCTGTGGATGACGAAATCAAGGATATCCGGATTACGGTTAGGATCTGTGGAACAGTAGGTAGGAGAATTGGGGGAAATAAAGTTAAAACGTTGGGTATTTAGTACAGACAGCAATATTCGGTCCCGAAAATCCGTTATTCTAGAACTCCATTGTTTGTGCTTAGCGTCAGCAACCAGGATGATATGATGTCCTAAGGCAGTGGTCGGTAAAGTGCGGCTCCAGAGCCGCATGTGGCTCTTTGGCTCCTTAAATGCGGCTCTGGCACAAATATCCACGGAAGGCGCTTGGTATGAAAATAATTACATCTTATTTTAATAAATTAAAATTCTATAAATCGAGAACATGTATAATTTTTTGTTTAAGTTAAAAAATAGATAGGTAATTGAAATTTTATATTGTTGTAAATATACGTAACGAACATCGAGTTTAATTTTATTATTTTTCGTAAACGTAAACTCAAACCATGTACAAGGTACCGGCTGAAATTGTTCCTATGTTTTCGGCGGACTCCCGTGTGATACTGAGGTACCACAAACATGCGAGCGCATACTTTTTCTAAAGTAGTGGCGTACAAATTGGCATCCCAGACCAGCAGTTGCAGTGTGAACAGTTTTGTCTTATCTACCGTGTCTGTTTCTTATTAAAAAGTTATATTTTTCAATCTAGCTGCACATCTTACAGGTATTTTTATACGATTTCATTACACCTGTATGTTTGTGTGCTATGTATGTTTGTGGTTCCGGTAAAAAATTTATAATCGATTTTTCGATAACTTTTATTTGTCCAAATGTTGGAAGTTTTCTTCCATTTTTGGTCTTATTAGAAGTTTTGTTATTCTGATGATGGAAAACATATTTTTTTTTCTTTTTACTGCAGTTACATATAAGCCGTTCAGTGAACACATTGATTAACTCCATTTTTTTGAAAAATCTTAAATTATTATAAAAATAAAAAGTTATGACTATACCAAATGTTTTAACACTTAAATTTAAGATGTTTAAAAAATGGAGTTAATCAATGTGTGCACTGAACGGCTCATATATCAATAAAATTTTATTTCTTAAAAATATAAATATTTTTTTCTATTTTCATCAATTTAATAATGATAATAATTTTTTACTGGTGTCTTTAGAAAAAAAATATATTTGGAATATTTTTACAGGCTCCCCATTTAACATGGCTGCCAAAAAAAAACAAAGAAAAACGGAAGATGAAAACCGCAAATTTAAAGTTGAGTGGACAGAGAATTTTGCGTTTATTCAAAACTTGAACGGACTTCCGACATGTCTTATTTGTAAGGAGAAATTTGCGCATAACAAGAAATCAAATTTAGAGGGACACTTAACAAGAAAGCACGCGTTATTTAGCACTAAATATCCTACTGGTGATTTAAGGAAGAAATCTATTGAGGAACTTCAGAAGTCAAGAGTCGTCAACTTCTGTGTTTAATAACTGGATGCAATCTCCCAGCAATATTAATGTGGCAAGTTTTGCTTTTAGCCAAGAGATTGCTAGGAGAGGGAAACAGTACACAGACTGCGAATACATAAACAATTGTTTTATAAATGCATCCGAAGAGCTATTTCGGGATTTTAAGAACAAAGCAGATATTCTGAAAAGAATTAAAGAGTTACCATTGTCTGCCAGAACCATTAAAGACAGAACAATTAAAATGTGTTCGAATATAACCACCCAGCATATCGAAGATCTGAAATTAGTTACGGCTTTATCAATAACAGTTGACGAGTCTTGTGACATAAATGATACAGCGCAAGTTTCACTTTTTGTAAAATTTATGTATCATTCAGGCCCTAAAGAAGAACATTTATTATTATTTTTTTGTTTGTTTTGCCTTCCTCGCCGTTAAGGCTATACGGGGTTTTCCCGGGCCAGGCAGTGTAGGCGGGGATTTAAAAGACGCCTTGCACCGGGACGCGAACTTGTGACTATTTTTATCATATATCAGGTTGCCGGGCAATAGTGGTGCTGTGCACTCTAAAAGAAGAACTTTTAGGATTATTGCCACTCAAAGGTCAGACGCATGGAGAAGATATAGCAAATGCTGTAATTGAGTGTATAGATAAACATCATATTCCCCTCGATAAAATTGTGTCGATTTCAACAGATGGGGCCAAAAATATGACCGGCGTAAAAAAGGGTTTGTTGCTGTTTTGAAAGAAAAAAATAATTAAAGGTACTTGTTTACCATTATATCATTTACCAAGAAGCGCTTTGTGGGCAAACATTTTCGGATGAAATTTGTAAAGTTATGGAATTAGTGATTACCATTATCAACTCCATTTTAGCTAAAGCTCTTAATCATCGCCAATTCAAAGAATTTTTATTTGAAATGGAGAGTGAGTACGCTGATCTTCTGCTCCATAACAAGGTACGTTGATTATCAAGAGGGAACGTTTTAAAACGCCCCTTTTCCGGAAATCAAAGCATTTCTCCTTGAGAAGGGCGTTTACTATCCATAACTAATAGACGATCAGTGGATCCAAAACTATGTTCACAGCTACCCGACATTTTCAATATATTTTCTTTATCTATCAGCTGCTATTTAATTTATTTTTTCCTTGAAAGGATATTATTTCATTTTGTGACCAAGGCTCCTTCTTACTTTAAAGACTATATAATAATAATAATAATAAGGCTTAGCGAACCCGAAGGTTCGATGCCGACACCACCAATCGCTTGTTACACACCTCCCTCCACCGTTCGCCGCCCAAACCCAGTCCCTTCAGATCGGCTTTAATGCAATCTTCCCACCTTCGCTTCGGTCTACCCCTCGGACGCTTACCATTCGGCACAGCAAATATTAACCTTTTAGGAATTCTCTCGTTACTAAACCCAACAACTTTACAAGCCCATTTGATTCGCCGCGATGAAATTACCTCAATTATATTACCCGAATACAGCTCATGCAATTCGGCGTTGTGTAACCGTCTGAACTCTCCGGTTAACTCATCCTTCTTCGGTCCGAATATTCTACGCAATACTTTATTTTCAAAAACCTTAAGACGCTGCTCATCCCTTAATGTAAGCGGCCAAGTTTCGCATCCATAAAGAACTGTAGGCAAGATAATTGTTTTATAGATTCTAATTTTTAAGTTTCGAGACAAGAGGCGCGAACTAAGTAGCTTTGTCACAGAAAAATAACAAGCATTCCCCGCCTTCAGTCTAACCTTAATCTCTTCTTCAATTTCGTTTTTTCTAGTTATCGTAGAACCTAGATACCTAAATTTATCTACCTGTTCAAACATATTACCATCTATATCGATATCACCAGTAGTATCGCCATTTTTGCAGCTAACCATATATTTTGTTTTATCCACGTTTATTTCGAGTCCTAGTTCTTTACCGGCTTTCATTAACGTTGTCGTATTTAGTTTTATAGTTTTATAGTTTCAACGTCTTAAAGACTATATAACTAATTAAAAACCTTGATGTTGCAAATCATGAATAATGTTTTAAATCTCTCTTTTGTATCTAATATTGTACTTTAAATCTTACCAGACGTTTACTCAAAAACCCAGGGTGAATGTGGTTACAGTGGCTTAATAATTATTAAGCCACTGTCAATGTGGTGATTTAATCCCACTCTTGTGGGGAAAGCTTGAACTACTTTGTTAACCTGACTTGTTACCTTCTGCACATTCTGTTGATGTTTTTAAACTAATGAAAACCTTTCTAACGGTAAGACAATCGTTTTTATTTCACTACACTATGGCGCTCTAAATTCGAACGTCTTTGTGTTGAACTGGAATTATTGGAGAAGAAAAAAATGTGATCTTAGTTCACACAAGTGGTCTGCTTTGAATGACCTGGAGAAGGAAGACATGATCATTTTAAACGCATGGAATAGTATTCCTGACTCTTACGGTCAGCTGAAAAAGCTCGCGTTTGCTGTTCTTTCCCTTTTCTGATCTACATATATATGCGAACAATTTTTTTCAAGCATGGACATTATCAAGAGTGAACTGAGAAGTCGTCTTATTGATGAGAAATTGAAATCATAAATAAAATTAAAAACAACAACATACAAATCTGACTTACACAAACTTTCCAAGGAGATGCAAGTACATTGTTCGCATTAATAAATATGTATTTAGTGTACTACTTATTTAGTGTAATTAAAGTTTACTAAACAAGCAGATTTGGCTCCCATTTTTTTTTTTTTTTTTGAAAAGTTGAGATGTTCATATTTTATTTTGAAAAATTTATCTGACGCATATGTTTTGAGTTATATAAAAAAGTCAGTACCTATTGGCCTTAACTTTTGAAATTTAATTTCAATAAAAATTTGAGGCAATAAATGAATGCAACACAATCATTTTGGTGGCCAAACGTACAACAGCACTAGATAGATACAAAACAATGATCTTCGGGGCCCTCAAGGGGAAAGGCCTCCAGTGATTCTATGGCGATAAAAAAGTAGAAAACATTTACTAAATATTGGGCACCCCTGGTCCTAAGTGATGAATTTTATTTTCAAATTATCTCACATCCTTTCCAGCAGTTGTACGAATGCTAGATAAAATAACAAAGTTTGGAACTATATAACCCTAAATTGGTTAGTAGAGGTGATGAAAAGTAATCAATCACAGGAGTACTATTATCGGATCCAGCCGGGGAGCGCACCTCCCCCTCCTCTGGAAGCTGGAAAAAAATCCTAAAAAAGTTCCAAAACGCAACTATTTAGAGAAAAGAGAAATGTAGGGGAAATTCATCCTCATAGATGGTTAATTTCCTAATGCAATATAAAAAAAAATATTAATGTGACCAGCAATAGCGAATTCTGCCAGGAGGCGCTCCCTCCCTTGGATGCTGGAAAAGAATTCAGCAAAAGTTACAAAAATACCTACTTAAAGAAAAGGGAAATACAGTTAAAGTTCATCCTCATTCACGAATTTGCTAATGTAATATAAAAATTTTTTTTTATCGTGGCCAGCAATAGCGAATTCTGCCAGGGGGCGCGCCCACCCCTTGGACGACGGGAAAAGAATTCCAAAAAACACCTCCTCCTCATCCTCATTCACGAATTTCCTAATGTAATAATAAAAAAATTACTATCGTGATCATTACTAGCGGATCCAGCTTGGGAGCGCGCCCCTCTCTCTCCTGGGTAGTGGGAAAAAAGTTCCAAAATTTAAAGAAAAATTCATCCTCATATACGAATTTTCTAATGTCATATAAATAAAAGTTATTATCGTGACCAGCACTAGTGGTTTCTGCCAGGGCACACGCCCTTGGCTACTTGGCTGCCTCAAGAGTTTTCCTTCAT